CTCCACGCCGCCGTGTCATCGCCGAATCCTCACCGGAATCCTCACTGCTATCCTCACCCCGCGCCGTCATCGCCGCCTCGTCGCCACTATATCCTCACCATTCCTCACCGCTGTCCTCACCCCGGCGTCGCCGCGGCGTCGCCTCGTCGCCGCGTCGTCGCCTCGTTCCTGCGGTATCGGCCCACGTTGTCCGCTGCGATATCACCCGCTATCCTCACCTCTATCCTCGCCTCTTCCTCGCCTCGTTCCGGCCTCGTCGTCGCCCGTCCTCACCCACTCTCCTCACCCGCTTGGGTCAGGAGTGCAGCGCCTGCAGCGAGGCATCCGTGAGGCATCCGCTTAGGGCAGGCGCACCCACGCACGTGGCAGGCACCTGCAGCGAGGCTGGGGGCTGCAGAAACTTGTGAGGGCAGCTGTGACCTGCAGCGACTGTGAGGGCCTGGAACGGTTGGGGGCTGTGGATTGTGAGGGACATGGGACCTGCCAGCGACTGTGAAGGTGTCTGGAAGGCTGCAGCGAGGGCACTCGGCAGCGAGGGCATTCGGCAGCGAGGGCACCTGTCTGGCACCTGGAGAGACTGCGTCACCGCGTCGTACCGGAGGCGGCTGTGCAACCAGGTGCACCCACGTCTCGCATCGTCATCGCGTCGTCGTGGCCGCGTCTCGCTCCCATCGTCGCCTCGTCGTCCCATCGTCGCCTCGTCGTCCCAGCCTCGCCGCGTCGTCGCTCGTCGTCGCCGCGTCGTCTTCGTCGCGTCGTCCCCGCCGCATCGCCGTCGTCGTCAGCCGGTTCACCGCCGCTCCCTCAGTTGCGCCTCGGTGACTGCCGTCAGCTTCCGAGCCGCTCGCCCGTCACCGCTCGCCAGCCCATCATCAAGCGTTCACACGAATGCACCTAACACGCAACGCCGAGCGGCTCTTCAGCCCTGGTTTCAAGTCTCGCAGCTGCCTGACCTCGCTTTACGCTCCGTGCTTGTGCTTTACCAAAGTCTCGATCGGAGTTGTTAGAAGGTTGGGGGTAGAGCTGCACTTCCCCCGCGGAGGGCAGCTCTCCAGGCATGCATTTCACGATGTTATGGTCGCCGCTGTTCACGGTGGTCGCCCTGCGCCTGCACGCCGGTGCTTACGCCGATGAGGTCGAGGTGGGCCGGGCTCGGCAAGGAGAGTGCAGTGCGCTGGGCTTGGAAGCTTGGAAAGTGCTGGGGCTTGGGGACTATGTGGAAGTTGCAAGGCTGCAAGGCCTCCAGCCTCCAAGCTGGGCTTGGAGGCTGCACCGTCCCATCGTCGTCAGTCGGCGCACCCAGCTGCAATCAAGTGCATTCACGTGCACACCGCCGCTCCCTCCCTTGTGCCGCCCGGCCCCGCCGCCCCTCCTGCCCCGTCGTCGTCGCCGTGTCGTTGTCGCGTCGTGCTCTATACCTCTATCCTCACTCTCACTGCCGCGTCCGCCGCGCTGCTTTACTTCTACGCCTACCACGTGAAGGCACCAAGCTCCTACGTCCCCGCGTCGTCGCCGCATCGTCGCCGCGGCGTCGTCGCTGCGTCGCCACATCGTCGTCGTCGTCGGCGTCGTTGCGTCGTCGCGTCGTCGTCGCGTCGTCGTCGCGTTGTCGCCGCGCCGTCCTTATTGCCATGTTCTTGCGTCGTCGTCGCATCGTCGACGTCGTCGTCGTCGTCATCGCCGCGTCGTCCCCCTTCGTTGCCGGGTCGTCGTCGCCGGGTGGTCGTCGTCGCGCCGCAAGAAAAAACAACCGTTCCTGGCCTCTTTTTGGGACCCTTGCAAAGGAGGCCTGCAGCACCTGGCCTACCTGTGAGCTGCGAGGGCACCTAGTGAGGGGCACCTGGTCAAAGGAGCGGGCACGGGCACCGGTGCCGGAAGCACCGGGCAAGGGCACCTGGTCAGGCACCTGGTGAGGGCACTTGGGTGTGGGCACCTAGTGAGGGCACCGGGGCTGCAGCGAGGGCGCCCTACCCACAACTCTTTTCATAAGGTTCTCATCAGCCCAGTTCTCCAACCCAGTTAAGGTGCCATGTGATGAGGTGACCTGCCACCGCGTCGTCGCCGCGCTGCCTTTATCACCTTTATCCCACCAAGTGAAGGCACCAAGCGCCTACGTCCCCGCGTCGTCGCCGCCGCTCCCTCTGCCTCTGCCTCTACCCTACCTCGCCGCTGCGTCGCCGCGTCGTCGTCGCGTCGTCGTCGTCACTGCACCGTTGTGGTCGCGTCGCCGCCGCATCGTTGTCGCCGTGTGCAACATTTGGGGTAACGCGGCTCTGGGGTAACATGTGGGGTAACATAATTTGGGGATCTCTAATGGTCTAGAGGCCACGGCACAACAGAGAACAGCGGTATCCACACAGGTATCCACGCGGGTATCCACGAAGCTTTCGCATCCTCGCCGCTATCCTCACCCCTATCCTCACCGGTATCCTCGCCGCTATCCTCACCTGCTTGCCGCCGTGTCGTCGTCGCCCGTGTTCGCTGGTATCCTCATCTCCTCGCCACCGCGTCGTCGTCATCCGTCCTCGCTTCTATCCTCACCACTGTCCTCGCTGGTATTCTCACCTCCTCGACGCCGCGTCGTCGTCATCAATCCTCGCTTCTAGCCTCCCCCCCTGTCCTCAGCGGTATCCTCACCTCCTCGCCGCCACATCGTCGTCATCCGTCCTCGCTTCCATCCCACCGGCATCCTCACCGCTATGATTGTCCTCACCGGCGGTATCCTCCCCTCCTCGCCGCCGCGTCGTCGTCATCCGCCCTCGCTTCTATCCTCACCGGTATCCTCACCGCTATCCTCATCCTCACCGCTATCCTCGCCCGCCGCGCCGCCGTCGCACCGTCGTCGCCGCGTCGTCGTCGTCGTCGTCGTCGTCGTCGTCGCATCGTCGTCGTCGTCGTCGCATCGTCGCCGTGCTCGCACCGCTGCTCCGCTGCCCCGCGTGCTCCCCCTGCATGGCATCGCACCGTCGCTGGAATCGAGGCCTAGGACCCCCCCACTGCGTCCCACCAACAGTCCGGCATGCATGGCATCTGCGGCAGCCCTCGCCGTGTCGTCGTCGAAGCGTCGCCCCCGCATCGCCGTCGTCGTCGCCGCGTCGTCGTCGTCATCGCCGTCACATCGTCGTTCCTCGCCGCGTTGCCGTCGTCGTCGCCGCCGTGATGCCGTCGCGCCGTCCGAGACTGCGGCCGTCGTCGGTCCCAGCATCGTCGTCACCGTCGCCGTCGTCCGAGAGCCGCGCGACGCCCCACCGCGTCGTCGCCGCATCGTCGCTTCCTCGCCGTCGTCGCCGTCGTCTATCTCCTTATTTTCGTGCTGGTTTCTAACCCACCACGGCCTTTCGAGGTCGCCCCACACTCACCTGTCGTTGGTCTGCCCTCGCCCTGCCCTCCGCGCGCCGTCGTCGCGGCCTGTTCCCGGCCTATTCGCCCGCCGTCGTCATCGTCGCGTCGTCATCGTTGCCATCTGAGACACTTGCGACATCCGAGTCGATCGTTGTCGTTGCCCCTCTTTCCAGCCCTGCAGCCCATCGTCGTCGTCGGTCGTCGTCGCCACCGCCGGCGTGGCCAATCGCCACGGAGCCTGTCGTAAACCGCTGCCGCAGCTTTTGCCGCAACAGCCTGATGCAAGCCCTTAGCAGCAGCAGCCCTGCAGCAGGCAGCCCCAGCAGCAGGCAGCCCCAGCAGCAGCAGCCGGCAGCACCACCCAAGCAGCAACAGCGCCGAGCCCAGCAGCAACAGCAGTGGCACCAACAGCAGTGCAGCAGCGGCCGTAGCAGCGCAGCAGCCAGCAATCAGCAAAGCGGTGCCCACGACTGGGACATGGTTTTTGTTTTTTGTTTTAATATTTTGCATAGTTTTCATCTTGGAAGCTAGCCAGAGATGTTGGAGCTGACCTCAATCAGGCAGGGAAATTTTTAGCAAGCAGCAAGGCAAATTTCACCAGTACCAAAAGGTTACTGACAAGAAGTCCTGAAAATGTGTTTAGAAGACAAGAATCCTGAAATGAAGTATGGACATGATCTACGTTTGCGCGCATTTTGGGCATGTTTTTTTTAGACTTCGTTTTTTTGCATGGCTTGGCTCATGGGTGCCGTTTTGGGGGGTGACGAGGCGGGCTCTGCTTCATCCTTGTTTATGTTTTCTGAACATTGCATGAGCATGGCAGCATGCTGCTGGCAAGGTGCGCGTTATGGTGCAGCATGTGCAGCCTTCGACAAGTGAACGAGATCTGTTGTGCAGCTGCTGCTGTTCACGCAGGTTTGCATTGCAACTTGCTGATTGAGCATACCTCCGTTGCCACCTTGCTGCACAATGCTTTGGTTCAAAGTCTGGAGAGATGTACAATGTCGCCAGCCAAGCGCCCCGCTGCTCCATCGGCGGAGGACAGCGTCAACGGGGTTTTTGGAGCTGTAGTTGCCAGAAGCCCTTTCTCTGGTGCAGGAGCGAGTCGGAGCGAGGACCAAAAAGCTGCTAGATCCGGACGGACATGAGGCGTGATTTGAGATCGGCTCGTAGCTCAGACGTGCTCCACTTTGTTTTTGTGATCCAGCCTGGCAGGAAAGTTTGTGGGATCGTCAGCTGCGACGGGCACTAGGCCGGCTCGAGATCGCGCAGGACCGTGTGAAGATCGCGCAGGACCGTTTGAAGACGGCCAAAACTAAGCAGGATGTCGATGTGGCCAAGAATGGAGCTGTGGTTCAGTAGTGCTGGCATGGTCTTATGGCCTCGGTCCAGGTGTGCAAGTCGATGAGTTGGCGGCTGGCTTGGCTCCCCTTTTGGTCAAGGCGGGCTTTCATTTGTCATGCACAAGTCTTGTGAACATGAGCACGACAGCATGCTGCTGGCAGGTGCGGGTTATGGTCCACAGCCTCCGACAAGTGAACGAGGCCTGTTGTGCAGCCGTTGTTCACGCGGGTTTGCATTGCAACTTGCTGGTGGAGAGTACCTCCGTTGCCACCGTGCGACGCAGTGCCTTGGTTTAAATTCTGGAGAGATATTCAATGCCGCCAGAGAAGCGCCCCGCCGCTCCATCGGTGGAGGACCGCGTCAAAGGGAGTTTCCTGGAGCTTCAGTTGCTGGAAGCCTCTTCTTCTGCAGGAGCCGCCGCCAAAAGTTGTTAAAGAGGCGCGGTCGGGTATGCTGTGCAGGATTTCAGATCGGATCGTAGCTGAGACCTACCCAGTGCATTCCGCGATCCAGCCTGGCAGGAAAGCCCCTGGGAAAAACAGCTGCGACTGGCACTGCTGGAGAAGGAGATAGCACTGGGGAGATTGCAGAAGGCCACAGAGGCCAACGACAAGAATGATATCGCGGAGGCCGAGAAGAAGGTCGAGGCGGCCGGGAAGAAGGTCGAGGCGGCCAAGAAGAAGGTCGAGGCGGCCGAGAAGAAGGTCGTGGCGGGTCCAGCCCAGGCCAGGTCAGCTCGCACTTGAGGGGTCTCCAGGCTAGTTTTGGTGCATAAGGCTCGACTCAGGTCGTTGTAGCATGACTTCTAGATTTGGTGTTGTAGACGCCGCTTGAGGAATTGCCCCGACCGACTCGGGAGTTCGACCATTTCGGGCTCCCCGAGCTTAAGGAGTTCAAGGCCGGCGAGCTGCTCGACGTCGAGAAGTTCAAGGACTTCGTGGCGCCCAACACGACCGCTGACAGACCGCTCTTCCTGCGAAAGCATCTCCTCAACGTGCACAACAAGGCAGTGGAGGCTTTGCAGGCGGAGGAGATTCGCCTGGTGTCGCTGGTCGGCTGCCCCGGCACCGGCAAGACGTGGTGCGGGTGGCTGGTGGCCTACACCCTGCAGCAGAAGGGCAAGAAGACCCTGCACCTGACCATCAGGAACTCAGACGTGACGACCATCGCCAACTTCGAGACGAAGAAGCAACACAAGGAGGTGCACTGGAACGGGCACATGCTCGAGCAGGTCCTGCGGGAGTCGCAGTGCCAGGTCTGCATCGTGGACGTGAGCATGAACAAGCCGGATGCGGCCACCGACATCTTCACCGGCATCCAGCAGCTGATCGAGCGGAACGAGACAGAGTTCGCTGGCGTGAAGTTCATGGGGCTGATGTCCGGCCACGGTGAGACCAAGATCGTTGGCAAGCCGTCCCTTCACCTGTCGCCGTGCAAGCTGGTTCTTTGGAGCTGGACAAAAGACGAGGTGGAGGAGCTTCGTGAGAAGTTGGGTGACGCTGGCGCTCCGCCTGCGCACGCATATGCAGTTTGTGGCGGCTCCGTGCGGTTTCTCTTCAAGCCTGACGATGAAGAGGGGGTCATTCGAGCAGCCGTACGGGGCTTGGAGCAAGCGGACATGGCAAGGTTGCTGGTCCTGGATTTGGGCCTGGACGATGTTGACAAGAAGCACTGCACGGGACTTCTGTCGTTCTTTCCCCGACAAGGCTCCAACGCAAACGATGAGAGCTTCGCACAGGGCGTCAGCGCAGCACGGCCGATGCCCCGCTCCGACTTCGTCATCAAGTGCATCAAGCAGAACAAGCACGCGAAGTTCGAGGAGGTGTTAAACATGTACAAGGAGCTCTCGAACATGAACGCAGGCGCCGCCGGCTGTGCCTTCGAGCTCTTGGTCCACCTGTTTTGGCGGGATGCTGCCGCGACAAAGCAGAAGGTCGAGCTTTCACTTACGGGCAAGGAGATCGCCAACGAGGTGGAAGTGGTGGATTGCGCAGAGTTCCCGCAAAGCCCTAAAAGTATCGAAGAGTATGACAAGGAGGCCGTCGCAGTCCACAACAACCTTGTGGGCTACTTCACGCCTGACAGCCAGCGATATCCTGTGCTCGACAGCATTCTCAGGTTCAAGTTTGCCGGGAAGACCGAGGTGTTGGCCATCCAGATCAGCATTGCAAAGGAGCACAAGCATGGCCCGCTTGAAGACCGGCCGCAGTTGCTGCCGCCTGCGCCAACCAAGCCGCAGTTGGCTTTGTGGGACTTTCGCAAGGGAGAGAAACCCTGCGAGTGGAAGCCCAAAGATTCTCATGACTGGGAGCTGCTGCACGTTAGCTGCCAAGACTTTGACAAGCGGATGGGGTGCAGTTGAAAAGTTTCCGGGAAAGCGCAGTGTTTGAGCAAGGGTCCTTTGTTTGAGGGTTGCCTTCTTGCTCGCGTCAATTCTGCAGGTCGTTCCACGGCACCTGGGCCTCGCCCCAAGCATGCACTGTTCCAGCAGTGTAAGTTGTTAGAGGCACCTCGTGAGCTGTTTGGCCTGCTCTGCCATGTATGTTTTTGGGAGGTCCTTGCCATGCGATTCGACCTTCAGGCATCGGAGGTTTCCGCTGGGACCCTCCATCTCGAGCCTCCAGATTCGCGCGCGTGCTTGATTGCAGGACATTGGTGATTGCTGGCTGCTGCGCTGCTACGGCCGCTGCTGCACTGCTGTTGGTGCCACTGCTGTTGCTGCTGGGCTCGGCGCTGTTGCTGCTTGGGTGGTGCTGCCGGCTGCTGCTGCTGGGGCTGCCTGCTGCTGGGGCTGCCTGCTGCAGGGCTGCTGCTGCTAAGGGCTTGCATCAGGCTGTTGCGGCAAAAGCTGCGGCAGCGGTTTACGACAGGCTCCGTGGCGATTGGCCACGCCGGCGGTGGCGACGACGACCGACGACGACGATGGGCTGCAGGGCTGGAAAGAGGGGCAACGACAACGATCGACTCGGATGTCGCAAGTGTCTCAGATGGCGACGATGACGACGCGACGATGACGACGGCGGGCGAATAGGCCGGGAACAGGCCGCGACGACGGCGCGCGGAGGGCAGGGCGAGGGCAGACCAACGACAGGTGAGTGTGGGGCGACCTCGAAAGGCCGTGGTGGGTTAGAAACCAGCACGAAAATAAGGAGATAGACGACGGCGACGACGGCGAGGAAGCGACGATGCGGCGACGACGCGGTGGGGCGTCGCGCGGCTCTCGGACGACGGCGACGGTGACGACGATGCTGGGACCGACGACGGCCGCAGTCTCGGACGGCGCGACGGCATCACGGCGGCGACGACGACGGCAACGCGGCGAGGAACGACGATGTGACGGCGATGACGACGACGACGCGGCGACGACGACGGCGATGCGGGGACGACGCTTCGACGACGACACGGCGAGGGCTGCCGCAGATGCCATGCATGCCGGACTGTTGGTGGGACGCAGTGGGGGGGTCCTAGGCCTCGATTCCAGCGACGGTGCGATGCCATGCAGGGGGAGCACGCGGGGCAGCGGAGCAGCGGTGCGAGCACGGCGACGATGCGACGACGACGACGACGATGCGACGACGACGACGACGACGACGACGACGACGCGGCGACGACGGTTCAACGGCGGCGCGGCGGGCGAGGATAGCGGTGAGGATGAGGATAGCGGTGAGGATGCCGGTGGGATAGAAGCGAGGGCGGATGACGACGACGCGGCGGCGAGGAGGGGAGGATACCGCCGGTGAGGACAATCATAGCGGTGAGGATGCCGGTGGGATGGAAGCGAGGACGGATGACGACGATGTGGCGGCGAGGAGGTGAGGATACCGCTGAGGACAGGGGGGGAGGCTAGAAGCGAGGATTGATGACGACGACGCGGCGTCGAGGAGGTGAGAATACCAGCGAGGACAGTGGTGAGGATAGAAGCGAGGACGGATGACGACGACGCGGCGTCGAGGAGGTGAGAATACCAGCGAGGACAGTGGTGAGGATAGAAGCGAGGACGGATGACGACGACGCGGTGGCGAGGAGATGAGGATACCAGCGAACACGGGCGACGACGACACGGCGGCAAGCAGGTGAGGATAGCGGCGAGGATACCGGTGAGGATAGGGGTGAGGATAGCGGCGAGGATGCGAAAGCTTCGTGGATACCCGCGTGGATACCTGTGTGGATACCGCTGTTCTCTGTTGTGCCGTGGCCTCTAGACCATTAGAGATCCCCAAATTATGTTACCCCACATGTTACCCCAGAGCCGCGTTACCCCAAATGTTGCACACGGCGACAACGATGCGGCGGCGACGCGACCACAACGGTGCAGTGACGACGACGACGCGACGACGACGCGGCGACGCAGCGGCGAGGTAGGGTAGAGGCAGAGGCAGAGGGAGCGGCGGCGACGACGCGGGGACGTAGGCGCTTGGTGCCTTCACTTGGTGGGATAAAGGTGATAAAGGCAGCGCGGCGACGACGCGGTGGCAGGTCACCTCATCACATGGCACCTTAACTGGGTTGGAGAACTGGGCTGATGAGAACCTTATGAAAAGAGTTGTGGGTAGGGCGCCCTCGCTGCAGCCCCGGTGCCCTCACTATAGGTGCCCACACCCAAGTGCCCTCACCAGGTGCCTGACCAGGTGCCCTTGCCCGGTGCTTCCGGCACCGGTGCCCGTGCCCGCACCTTTGACCAGGTGCCCCTCACTAGGTGCCCTCGCAGCTCACAGGTAGGCCAGGTGCTGCAGGCCTCCTTTGCAAGGGTCCCAAAAAGAGGCCAGGAACGGTTGTTTTTTCTTGCGGCGCGACGACGACCACCCGGCGACGACGACCCGGCAACGAGGGGGGACGACGCGGCGATGACGACGACGACGACGTCGACGATGCGACGACGACGCAAGAACATGGCAATAAGGACGGCGCGGCGACAACGCGACGACGACGCGACGACGACGCGACGACGCAACGACGCCGACGACGACGACGATGTGGCGACGCAGCGACGACGCCGCGGCGACGATGCGGCGACGACGCGGGGACGTAGGAGCTTGGTGCCTTCACGTGGTAGGCGTAGAAGTAAAGCAGCGCGGCGGACGCGGCAGTGAGAGTGAGGATAGAGGTATAGAGCACGACGCGACAACGACACGGCGACGACGACGGGGCAGGAGGGGCGGCGGGGCCGGGCGGCACAAGGGAGGGAGCGGCGGTGTGCACCTGAATGCACTTGATTGCAGCTGGGTGCGCCGACTGACGACGATGGGACGGTGCAGCCTCCAAGCCCAGCTTGGAGGCTGGAGGCCTTGCAGCCTTGCAACTTCCACATAGTCCCCAAGCCCCAGCACTTTCCAAGCTTCCAAGCCCAGCGCACTGCAGTCTCCTTGCCGAGCCCGGCCCACCTCGACCTCATCGGCGTAAGCACCGGCGTGCAGGCGCAGGGCGACCACCGTGAACAGCGGCGACCATAACATCGTGAAATGCATGCCTGGAGAGCTGCCCTCCGCGGGGGAAGTGCAGCTCTACCCCCAACCTTCTAACAACTCCGATCAGACTTTGGTAAAGCACAAGCAGTGACGGGCGAGCGGCTCGGAAGCTGACGGCAGTCACCGAGGCGCAACTGAGGGAGCGGCGGTGAACCGGCTGACGACGACGGCGATGCGGCGGGGACGACGCGACGAAGACGACGCGGCGACGACGAGCGACGACGCGGCGAGGCTGGGACGACGAGGCGACGATGGGACGACGAGGCGACGATGGGAGCGAGACGCGGCCACGACGACGCGATGACGATGCGAGACGTGGGTGCACCTGGTTGCACAGCCGCCTCCGGTACGACGCGGTGACGCAGTCTCTCCAGGTGCCAGACAGGTGCCCTCGCTGCCGAATGCCCTCGCTGCCGAGTGCCCTCGCTGCAGCCTTCCAGACACCTTCACAGTCGCTGCAGGTCCCATGTCCCTCACAATCCACAGCCCCCAACCGTTCCAGGCCCTCACAGTCGCTGCAGGTCACAGCTGCCCTCACAAGTTTCTGCAGCCCCCAGCCTCGCTGCAGGTGCCTGCCACGTGCGTGGGTGCGCTTGCCCTAAGCGGATGCCTCACGGATGCCTCGCTGCAGGCGCTGCACTCCTGACCCAAGCGGGTGAGGAGAGTGGGTGAGGACGGGCGACGACGAGGCCGGAACGAGGCGAGGAAGAGGCGAGGATAGAGGTGAGGATAGCGGGTGATATCGCAGCGGACAACGTGGGCCGATACCGCAGGAACGAGGCGACGACGCGGCGACGAGGCGACGCCGCGGCGACGCCGGGGTGAGGACAGCGGTGAGGAATGGTGAGGATATAGTGGCGACGAGGCGGCGATGACGGCGCGGGGTGAGGATAGCAGTGAGGATTCCGGTGAGGATTCGGCGATGACACGGCGGCGTGGAGACGACGACGACGGCGCGGCGGTGAGGACCGGGTAAGGATAGCGGTGAGGATACCGGTGAGGATAGATGTGAGGATATACCGGTGAGGACGACGGCGCGGCGACGAGCGACGACTTTGCGACGACGAAGCGACGAGTAAGCGACGAGCCGGCGACGACGAGCCGGCGACCGCGCGGGGGATGGGGGGACGACGACGCGGCGAAGCTGCCCCCAGACCGTCGCTGCTACCCCCTCACAATCGCTGCAGGTCCATGGGTGCCCTCACAGCCCCGGCTGCTCTCGTGCCTTCACTGGATGCAAAGGCTTCATGCAGGCGCCCTCACAGACACCCTCACTGCCCACTCAAGCTCACCAGGCCCCAAGTGCCCTCTCACAGGTGCCCTCGCTGCTTTGCTGGGCGCCGTCATTGCGCCGAACCACACCCTCACAGAGCCCAGGCATGCGCAGCGCTGCACCCCTCCCGCGGGTCCTAGAACTCCTGACCCAAGAGGATGGGGTGAGGATAGCGGGGTAGAGGTGAGGGCGGCGCGACGACGACGCGACGACGACGCGACCACGATGCGACGCGACGACGATGCGACACGACGACGTGGACGCGGCGACGGCGCAGGCGAGTCTGCAGCCCCCACAGGTGCCCCTCACGGTCGCTGCAGGTCCCAGGTGCACAGTCGCTGCAGCCCCCTGGTGCCCCTCACAGTCGCTGCAGCCCCAGCGGTCTCAGCCTCACAGGCCCCACTGCTCCTCTTCACCTAACGCCAAAGGCGCAGCGACGACGATGCGGCGACGACGACGCGACGACGAGGCGACAACGAACACGCGGTGACAAGGACCGCGCCCGAATGGTGCCACCGAAATGTCGCTCCAGAAATGTCACCACCGAAATGTCGCCACCGAAATGTCGCTACCGAGCCGCGCCGAGGTGGGACACGACGACGCGGCGACGACGAGGCGGCGGCG